TGCGATCACCTAGGTGATTGAAAGCAGAAGACGTTCTCCCCCTCCCTCCCCGTAGTCTTCTGGGACATGATAGGTCCCAGAAGACTACGGGGCCATTCACAAGGCACAGCACTTCTCGCACATGCGCAGTGGGCACCCGGCTGTGAAGCCGCAAGCTGTCACAGCCGGGTGCCCACACTGAAGATGTCGGAGCCAGGGAGAGAAGACAACCGGTGAAGCCAGCGGTGGTGAGGATGCCGCGGGAACGTGGGACAGGTAAGTGGCTGTATTTTAAAAGACAGTTTTTGTAGCTGCTGACTTTTTTTTTCGTTTTTCAGGTGGAACTCTGCTTTAAGGTGGAACTATGGGCAGGATAAAAAAATAAATAAATCAATGCAGCTCTGTAATAATTAATGCCTCATTAATTGTATTATTTAAATGCAAGCAGAGAAAATAACTGGATGTGACCCGGTATCAGCCTCTTGCAGTCCCTGTGCAGCAGGGCTGGAGTATGCGAGGAAAAAACAGTGCAAGGAGCCAATCAGTTCATATGCTAATAGAAGGAGAGAGCAGAGTGTGAGATGATCACATAGTTACAGCAAGGCAACGTTTCAGAGTCTAACATGCCTGATGAAGGGGTCCTGCGAGACTCCGAAACGTTGGGTCACATGCCTGATGAAGGGGTCCTGCGAGACTCGGAAACGTTGAGTCACATGCTTGATGAAGGGGTCCTGCGAGACTCGGAAACGTTGCCTTGCTGTAACTATATCATCGTTCATGAAAACGTTTGGCCCCATATTGGTGATCCTCGGTGTGCTGGTGACATCCTCCCTTTGCTGATTCTGTTCAGTTCCAGCCGACGGTCGCCGCAGCACCCACTTATACACACCGCCATTTGTAACACAAGAACATGTGCGTTTGGATTGTACACTTGCAGTGAGAGATGGGTTCATCACTGTGCTGCTGCTTCTTTCACTGTCCAATCACAAGCTGTGGGTGGGTCCAGGATGACCTGGGATCAGATGAAGTGGGTTAAATGATGTTCCTATCAGACTGAGGGACATCTAGTGGCAGAAGAATATACTGCGGAGGAAACCTCAGTACTGAAAGTGAATAGCACGGCAAAAGCTGGTTTTGATATTTGATCTTTTAAAAGGGTTGCTACATTTTTATCTGGCTTTTGTGACTGAAGTTTTGCTTTAATTTGTATCTAAACTCAAAGCAGCAGCACTGGGATGTAACAATGGATGAAAAAATAGGTGAAAACAGTTTTTTGGGGGGGTTTTTTAATGATAAACCATGCTTTAACCACTTCCCGTCTGGCCAATGTATATAAACAGCCTGGCGGTGGCAGTGAAGGGTCGAGTGGCTGTTTATAAACGGCCTCCCCACACCCTGCTTGTGCACGCTCCCTGGGAGCACGCAGCACCGCGATTCGGTGCCCGTTGTGTCCTCCGGACACAGTGGAACACCGAACGTCGTATGGGACCTCTGTGTGAGGTCCCGATCATGTGATCACTGATTGGCCAATCATTGATCACATGCAGAGTAGTAAGCAAGATGTCACTTCTGACATCATTACTTACTACATGTGAAATCTGTGAATGATCACAGAGGTCACATGGTACAGGGTTATTCACAACAGTCTTGTACCGTGTGACAAGCTGTGACCAATCACAGCTCACTCAGTATTTCTCAACGGCTGCAAGAATACAGCCAGAGAGGAGAAATGATTGATTTTACAGCCTTTATGGGTGTAAAAGCAATCAGTGTAAAAAAAAAAAAAATCATCACCCTCCACAAGTAGTACAGTGTCACCATGGTGACACTGTACTGCTAGGGTGACAGCATGTAAAAAAAAAAAACAAAAAACAATAATATAAAAAAAAATAAAAATGTAAAAAAATTTTTTTTTAATTATAATTTTTGGTTATAATCTAATTTGGGTTATTTTTTTTTTTTACTAAAAAGATAACTGAATACATTTTGGCCAAGATTTATGCTGAATTATTTATTTGCAAAATTATATAAGAAAAACACTTTTTCAAAATTTTTGGACTTTTTCATTTATATAGCAAAAAAAATAAAAATCCCAGCGGTGAATAAACACCACCAAAAGAAAAAGTTTTATCGGTCTCAAAAAAAGGCTAAAAAATTCATATGGGTACAGTGTTGCATGACCGCGCAATTGTCATTCAAAGTGTGACAGCGGTGAAAGCTGAAAATTGGCCTGGACTGAAAAATTGGCCTGGACAGGAAGGGGGGGAAAGTGTCCGGACCGGAAGGGGGGGGAAGTGGGGGGGGGGGAAGTGTCCGGACCGGAAGGGGGGGGGAAGTGTCCGGACCGGAAGGGGGGGGAAAGTGTCCGGACCGGAAGGGGGGGGAAAGTGTCCGGACCGGAAAGTGTCCGGGGGGGGAAAGTGTCCGGACCGGAAGGGGGGGGGAAAGTGTCCGGACCGGAAGGGGGGGGAAAGTGTCCGGACCGGAGGGGGGGGAAAGGTCCGGACCGGAAAAGAAAGTGTCCGGACCGGAAGGGGGGGGGAAAGTGGGGAAGGGGGGGAAAGTGTCCGGACCGGAAGGGGGGGGAAAGTGTCCGGAAAGAAAGTGTCCGGACCGGAAAGTGTCCGGACCGGGGGGGGGGGAAAGTGTCCGGACGGAAGGGGGGGGGGGGGAAGGGGGTGAAAGTGTCCGGACGGAAGGGGGGGGGAAAGTGTCCGGGGGGGGGGAAAGTGTCCGGACCTGGAAGGGGGGGGGAAACTGGAAGGGGGGGGAAGTGTCGGGGAAGGGGGGGGGAAAGTGTCCGGACTGGGAAGGGGGGGGAAGTGTCCGGACTGGAAGGGGGGGGGAAAGTGTCCGGACCGGAAGGGGGGGAAAGGGGGTGAAAGTGTTCGGACCGGAAGGGGGGGGGAAGTGTCCGGACCGGAAGGGGGGGGAAAGTGTCCGGACTGGAAGGGGGGGGGAAAGTGTCCGGACTGGAAGGGGGGGAAGTGTCCGGACATGAAGTGGTTAAGAAACTAATTGTCATCCAGTTAGGGCTAACATCTACTTTCAGCCCGGGTTCACACTGGTGTGGTGAGGAATTAGCAGTGTTTTCAGTGCGGATTCCGCACCTCATCAGAATCGCACCCCGTTCATGCGAACCGCTGCGGGTGTGTATGCCAAGTTAACAACACCCCGAACTCATCCCGCAAAACGCGGTGCGATGTGCAGAATCGGATCGCATAGGTGTGAATACCCATGCAATCCAATTCTTCTAATGCAGACCCAAAAAAGGTCCTGCGTGTTTTTGGTGCGGATGCGGTGCGAACAGAGCCGTACAAAATATATGGTTCCGATCGCACCGCACGCAAATCGCGTGTGATCTGCACAGGAATGCGGTGCAGTTCCTGTGCCAATCACATGCGATATACCGCCCCGCATATATGTGAGCCCGGGCTAAGTGACAGTTAACGTCTTGATGTTTTCGGAGTTCTCCGCTAATAATGAAGCCCATCCCAACACTGCAATGTACACTAAATTTTTATTTTTTTATCCCCGAGTTGTGTTTAGATTTTCTGAACACAGCTTGTCCTATATAAATATATTCGATGCCTTCTTGTTAACAGCTGTCAATACGACGCGTGCATGGCGGGAGCGGTATAAGCCTTTCAGGAACATATGCTTTCACCGCGCCTTTTCAAGACAAACATTTATGACCTTGTTAATAGCAATAAAAAATACTTACTTCAACAAAGTAAAATGCCTACCGATGCTTCTTTTTTGCAGACACTGCCTGGCTAAATAACTGCCTTCACCATGTCTGCATTTAGATCGTCCAGACACAATTATACCCCCATATACAGTATTTGCAGAGAGTACACAAGCCGTTCTATATCCGACTCCCAAGGCATCCCAGCCATAGGCCACCTTCACGCAGGGGAAGAGTTCACTAAGGAGGTGTTCACTCCAAGCTACAGAAGTCATTGGTCCAGAAGTATCCGAGAAATGAATTCTCCAGTTTACACAGCATTCTTAACCCTGATGAAGGGTGCGCAGCCATAGAAATGGGTTGGTTGGTTTAGGAGAAAATACTTAAGGACTCTACATCTGTTAACCATTCTAAACCATGGTTCCATAGAACTCTAGGGTTTCTCTAACAGGTTGCAAAGGGTTCCTTCATTTGCGGCTGATTGATTTCTTACTGGATGGTTCTGAAGAGTTCTGGGCTCAATGCCACATGCACTTTAATTTACTTTTTTCTGTTGGTTGAACTAAATGGACTAATTTTTTAACCTGACTAAACTAACTAAGAAATCAAGTATGTTTTTAGCGGACTATAAGGTAGCATTTGAACATCACTAAAAACAGATCCCCAAATGCATGGAACCTTCTTCCCACTGACCCCCAATATAAGGAGCATTCTTCCCACTGACCCCCAATATAAGGAGCATTCTTCCCACTGACCCCCCAATATAAGGCAATGTAAGGAGCATTCTTCCCACTGATCCCCAATCTAAGGAGCATTCTTCCCACTGATCAACAATGTAAGGAACATTCTTCCCACTGATCCACAATATAAGGGACATTCTTCCCACCCCCTGATCAACAATGTAAAGGGAAATCTTTCCACTGACCACCAATGTAAGGGACATTCTTCCCACTGACCCCCAATGTAAGGGAACATTCTTCCCACTGACCACCAATGTAAGGGACATTCTTCCCACTGATCACCAATGTAAGAACATTCTTCCCACTGACCCCCAATGTAAGAACATTCTTCCCACTGATCACCAATGTAAGGGACATTCTTCCCACTGACCCCCAATGTAAGGGACATTCTTCCCACTGACCCCCAATGTAAGGGACATTCTTCCTACTGATCACCAATGTAAGGGACATTCTTCCTACTGATCACCAATGTAAGGAGCATTCTTCCAACTGACCACCAATGTGTAAGGGACATTCTTCCCACTGATCACCAATGTAAGGGACATTCTTCCCACTGATCACCAATGTAAGGAACATTCTTCCCACTGATCACATGTAAGGAGCATTCTTCCCACTGATCACCAATGTAAGGAGCATTCTTCCCATTGATCACCAATGTAAGGAGCATTCTTCCCACTGACCACCAATGTAAGAACATTCTTCCCACTGATCACCAATGTAAGGGACATTCTTCCTACTGATCACCAATGTAAGGAGCATTCTCCCACTGACCACCAATGTAAGGACATTCTTCCCACTGATCACCAATGTAAGGGCATTCTTCCCACCCACAATGTGATTCTTCCCACCAATGTAAGGGACATTCTTCCCACTGATCACCAATGTAAGGAACATTCTTCCCACTGACCCCCAATGTAAGGGACATTCTTCCCACTGACCCCCAATGTAAGGGATATTCTTCCCACTGACCCCCAATGTAAGAACATTCTTCCCACTGACCCCCAATGTAAGGAACATTCTTCCCACTTATTCCCAATGTAGGAAGAATTCTTCCCACTGACCACCAATGTAAAGGGCATACATCCCACTGACCCCCAATGTAAGGGACATTCTTCCCACTGAACGCCAATGTAAGACATTCTTGCCACTTATTACCAATGTAAGGAACATTCTTCCCATTGACCCCCAATGTAAGGAAACATTTTTCCCCTCTGACCACCAATGTAGGGAGCATTCTTCCCACTGATCACCAATGTAAGGGACAGTCTTCCCACTGACCACCAATGCAAGGGACATTCTTCCCACTGACCACCAATGCAAGGGACATTCTTCCCACTGACCACCAATGCAAGGGACATTCTTCCCATTGACCCCCAATGTAAGGAACATTTTTCCCCTCTGACCCCCAATGTAAGGGACATTCTTCCCACTGATCACCAATGTAAGGGGCATTCTTCCCACTGATCCCCAATGTAAGGGACATTCTTCCCACTGACAACCAAAGCAAGGGACATTCTTCCCACTGACCCCCAATGTAAGGAACATTCTTCCCACTGACCACCACCAATAAGGAGCATGTAAGTGTCCACAAAAGAATTGGTTTTTGCAAGGGTTTCTCGAGAGTTCCTCTAAGGCAGGGTTTCTCAACTCCAGTCCTCATGGACCCCCAACAGGTCATGTTTTCAGGATTTCCATTATTTTGCACAGGTGATTTGATCAGTTTCACTGCCTTAGTAATTACCACAGCTGTTTCATCTGAGGGAAATCCTGAAAACTTGACCTGTTGGGGGTCCACGAGGACTGGAGTTGAGAAACACTGCTCTAAGGTAAAAAGGTTAGTGCTCTTACTCAACTACCTGGATTCTATCTGAACACTTGAGAAAAAGATCTAGCTAGAGCTACTTCCCTCTTTTACTAAAAGATATGGTACCAACATCAGAGTAATCTCAGATTCAGCAACTTTTCCAACCAAATATGGCCAAGATCAGACTGCCAGTGAAGAAGTCAGAAAAAGGAGTTGCGTGGCACACATATTTTTCACACAGAAGTTGGTGCAGGGAGTACAGGATTGGTACTGCATCATAAAAACCGTGCTGATAGGAGAAGGCCAAGTGACAGAGATGAGCTCATGACTTTTTAGACAGAATGTGCCTAAAACTATCTCTGTCGTTAATGGGAGTCCATCCCTACTCAGGGTAGAGTGGCTCACCAGAATTTGGTCATAGCAGCTGTGGAATGCAGTAGCCATAGATGTGACACAGAGAGCCCAAATGCTCAGCGGTGAGCCCTTAGAACAGTGGTCTCCAAACTGCGGCCCAGGGTCCAGATGCAGCCCTTTGCTTACTTTTATCTGGCCCTTGGGGCACTATTTTTTCTCCACCAATAGCAACAATGGGGCATATTACCCCCTCTGACACCAATGAAGGGGCAGAATAGCTCCGAATAACAGGTCACAATTCCTCCCAATGGGGCACAATTCCTTTCAGACACCAAACAAGAGGTCCAATGATGGGGTTCTTTTCCTCTCACTGACACCAAAGATGGGAAATTCTTTATTACACGCAAGTCATGACCTTTTCTACTCCCAATAGTCGGGCCCTTGTTAAGTCTGAAGGACAGTAAAGTGGCCCTTTGTTTAGAAAGTTTGGAGATCCCTGCCTTTGAAGGACAGAAGTGTAGAGTCTAAACCCACCCGGCCTTCTCCAGAACACCCTACAATGGGGGGTTTCGCTGTTGAAGTCTCAGGGATGTGACCCTCTGACTCACCCGAGCAGGCAGCTACCTAGGACAGGATTGGTGATGCAAGAATAATATCTTCTCGCACTAGGATCTTCTGCAGCCACTTCTGTCCTCATGCACACCAGCGTTTTGTAAGGAAAAAAAAAAAAAGTTGCGTCAAAGCGCCCCCTTGTATTCTCCATGGGAAGCCCATGTAACAAGGTAGCAACGAAGGGGGAAAACGAAAGGGAGGGACAGAGCGTTGTCACCTTTTATTAGGTGCCTGAACAATGATCTTCATGGCAGGATCAACAGGGATTTTTTTAATGACAACTTCAGATTTAAAAATACAAAAACCAAAGAGGTAATATATTGCAGCTTACCAATCATTTGATGTGGTGGCTGCATTAGTTTTCTTTTTTTTAGGCTTTTTTCCCCCTCTGCTTTCACCTGGTGATCTGGCCAGTCAGGCACCTCCAAGGTTCACACCTAAGCGTTTTTTTCAGTGTTTTTCAGAAATGCAGTACAGTCCATTTAACATGATTTCCTATGGGACACGTTCGCATCTCAGCGTTTTCATCCGATGCTTTTTTTTTTTTAACACAAAAAGTTGCGTTTTTGGTTTATAGACTTCAATGGAAATGCTGCAGAAAAGCATGTATTGCATTTTTTGCTGCATTTTGTGTTTTAAATCTGCCTAGCAACAAGAAAAAAAAAACGCGGCAAAAACATAGGTGCAAAAACGCAAACCGCACTGCAGAAATGGTTCAAACGCAACCTGCATAGGTGTGAACCTAGCCTTAGAGTGCCTCCACTCTGGATGAAGGGAGGATTAGATGTACAAGCAGATTTAAACACACAAAAAACTGATGCCAAACTGGCGCTCACACTTTATAAATCAGTTACAGCAACAGCTTTGTACCTTTTGGGATATAGGTTTTATATAAATAAAAGTCGATCATTTTAAGTTCCTGTCAGTGGTAAATGGTTTCTTTCATCCCTGTAAGTTGATATATCTGGAAGAGAGCTTGTGCTTTTGAAAAACAACAGACTTACTGGCTGGATCACTAATGTAAATAGAAGAAAGAACGCCTAAAAGCTGCAATACAATAGATGCTTGCTTTTGGGTTTAATACCACTTTAACCCCCCCTGGCAGTATTCCCGAGTGTAGCTCGGGGTTAAGTTTCAGCACCAAAGGCGGTAACCCCGAACTACACTCGGGAATACACTGTATCGTTGCCCCGGGATCCCTCGATCACTTACCTTCTGCGCTCCCGCGATGTCCCTCCTGCAGCATCCCTGGCAATGTCCTCTGGCCGATGCCGGCATCTGTCTTCTGGGTTCCGTTCCCTGCGACGTCGGGACGTACGGGGGACGGAACTGGCGGGAAATTCAAAAATGTGAAAAAGTGAAATTCACTAAATACACTAAAATCACATCGTATAACATTCCTGTATCAAACCATTTCACATACATTTTGTCCCGAGTGCTTTGTCCGGCGCCCTGCCTGCATTTTTACCGCCCTTTCTGCCTGGAAACTGAGAAACGTCCATGGCGTCCAAAAAGCGTCCCTTTAGGTCAACGCGGTTTTAGACCGGCTAGAGAACAGCGATAGTAAATCAGAATCACTTGCAGAATTGAGTGATAATGATTGGTGGGGGAAATTCCTCATCAGACACTGAAAACGATTCTGCGACTGAGCTCAGCGATGTGCGAACTTGGCGCTCTATTTCACATTTCTGTGTTTTTGGTTTGATTATATTATTGAATTAAATTTATTATATTATTTTTTATGATTATTGATTATATTATAATTTATTATTTCGTGTTTCAAATTTTATCATACCCGGGATGTTTACTAGACTCTTGTTCGGACAGATTTCAGTGAGTTATTCCTAAAAATTACAGGCCTGCAATAAAAAAACGACATATTTCCATGCAAAAAAATGTACCACTTTGAGCACAGAAATATGGACATAATCAGACCGCCAGGGAGGTTAACCTGGTAAAGCTCATACGAGGATTTGAGTGAGTTGTGGGCTAGATCTACTTTGATGAACAATCAATGTGAAGAGAGTGTGAGATCATAAGTCTGTGTGACCTGCCTATGAACTTGTCTTATTTTGAACCTTTTGAGTGGTCCCAAATCTCAAAGCCTCAAAAGAAAAAAAAAAAAAAAAAAAAAAAAAAGAACGAAAAAAAAAACATGCACACAATACCAACTTAACAATAGCTATTCGGAGCCCCCCGGTTCTCCCTGGTGGGGTTACATGCAGCACAATCAATGCACGGTTATTTGTCTTTCAATGACTACAAAGCTTCTGTCCTCGGCTTTTAATCCATCGTGAAGCAATTTCCAGCATTGTTTGCAAAAACCAATTAAATTATGGAAAACAAACACGGAGCCCAGGAGAGGCAGTTGAACGGTGTCACTCGCCTATTAATTAGCGATACAAATTGATGGAATTTATTCCGATGGATCTCTCCCCCTGAACCTCAGCAAGAGTCCAATTCTCCGACGTGTACAACATTAGGGGACGTTTATTAGGTGTGATCAGAGAGGTGAGCCCATGAGGGACCTTGTGTCCACATCCAATACCACCAGTGTGGAAATAGCTAAAGAAGGGCTCCAGACTAAAAGATAAAGAAACTGGTGAAATGTATTCATAGGAGCAGCTTTACTTGCCAGGAAAGATTTCAGTTGCTCCCTTTTGTCATTATATTGTAAAGCGCTGAGTAAACTGTTGGCGCCATATAAATCCTGTATAATAATAATAATAATAATGTTTCATTTTGTAGTGAGGGTGAGAAAACATTATAGAGAACTTAACTCTATATACCTCGTTCCATGGCCGCCCACCCAATGCATTTTATGTAAGATTTACTCAGCAGGACCCTCAAACACTGACTCCTAATGCCAGAGTAAGCTTTAGTGAGCAGGTCCCTCAACACCATCTCCTCCTCCAAGTGTAAGCTTTAGTGAGCAGGACCCCCAACACCATCTCCTCCTACAAATGTAAGCTTTAGTCAGCAGGACCCCCAACACCATCTCCTCCTACAAATGTAAGCTTTAGTCAGCAGGACCCCCAACACCATCTCCTCCTACAAATGTAAGCTTTAGTGAGCAGGACCCCCAACACCATCTCCTCCTACAAATGTAAGCTTTAGTCAGCAGGACCCTCAACACCATCTCCTCCTACAAATGTAAGCTTTAGTCAGCAGGACCCCCAACACCATCTCCTCCTCCAAGTGTAAGCTTTAGTGAGCAGGACCCCCCCAACACCATCTCCTCCTACAAATGTAAGCTTTAGTGAGCAGGACCCCCAACACCATCTCCTCCTACAAATGTAAGCTTTAGTGAGCAGGACCCCCAACACCATCTCCTCCTACAAATGTAAGCTTTAGTCAGCAGGACCCCCAACACCATCTCCTCCTACAAATGTAAGCTTTAGTCAGCAGGACCCCCAACACCATCTCCTCCTCCAAATGTAAGCTTTAGTGAGCAGGACCCCCAACACCATCTCCTTCTACAAATGTAAGCTTTAGTCAGCAGGACCCCCAACACCATCTCCTCCTCCAAGTGTAAGCTTTAGTGAGCAGGACTGTCAATACCATCTCCTCTTACAAGCGTAGGCTTTAGTGAGCAAAACCCTCAACATCATCTCCTCCTACAAATGTAAGCATTAGTGAGCAGGACCCCCAACACCACCATCTCTTCCTACAAGTGTAAGCTTTAGTGAGCAGGACCTTCACCACCATCTCCTCCTACAAGTGTTGACTTTAGTGAGAGCAGGACCCCCAAACACCATCTCCTCCTCCAAGTGTA